CAGGAGGGATATCATGGCTGCAAAGCTCCTTCCCTCTGGGGGTGTGAGGCCTCAACCCCACACCCAGAGCAGCAGAGATGGGAAGAAGAGCTGGCCTAGCACTGGGCACAGGGAACCTTGGTCTGCGCCTTCCCAGGGGAGGAGCCCTCTTGTCAGCTGCCCAGCTGAGAACGTGGCTCCAGGCTCTGCTGCTGGAGGGGCTTCGCTGCCATGATTCCATCTGGAAGAGGAGTCTGCGGGCCGCACCCAGCAGCGGCTTTGAGGGATCCTCTACTGTCTTTTTTTAAAATATATTTTTATTGATTTCAGAGAGGAAGAGAGGGGTGAGAGAGAGAGAAACATCCATGATGAGAGAGAATCATCGATTGGCAATCTCACTTCTGGGTATTTATCCAAAGAAATCCAAAACATTAATTCAAAAAGATATATGCACCTCCGTGTTTATTGCAGCACTATTTACAACAGCCAAAGCATGACTGGTCTCAGAGGGGAGGCTTGGGGGCGATGGGAAGGGATTAACCAAAGAATTTATATGCATATAGGGATCGCCAAGGACACAGATAATAGTGTGGTGAAGGCCTGAGATAGGGCAGGGGTTGGGTGGAGGAAGGAAGTGAGTGGGGGAGGGGAGGGAGGGGACATTTATAATAATGTCAACAATAAAAAATAAATTTTAAAAAAAGATAAGAAAGCATCTTAAGTGTCCACTGATAGACAATTGGATAAAGAAATTGTAGCCCTAGCCAGTTTGGCTCAGTGGATGGAGTGTTGGCCTGAGGACTAAAGGGTCCCGGGTTCAATTCTAACCAAGGGCATATGCCTGGGTTGCAGGCTCGATCCTCCCAGTAGGGGGTGTGCTGGAGGCAGCCAATCAATAATTCTCTGTCATCATTGATGTTTCTCTCTCTCTATCGCTCTCCTTTCCTCACTGAAATCAATAATAAATTTTTTAAATAAAAAAAGTTGTACATTTATGCAGTAGAATATTATTCAACCATAAAAAAGAATAAAATCTTACCATTTGTGACACTATGGATGGACTCAGGGTATTATGCTAAGTGAAATAAGTCAGACAGATAAAAATACCATAGGTTTCACTTATATTTGGGGAATCTAAAAAACAAAATATATGAAATAAAACAAAGAATCTCATAAATACAGAGAACAATTTGATGTTTGCCAGTTAGAAGTGGTTCTAGGGGGCTGGGGGCTGGTAAAGGGATTAAGAAGTACAAATTGCCCGTTACAAAAACAGTCAAAGGAATGCAAAGTACAGCATGGGGAATATAGTCAATAATCCCATATAATAAAAGGCTAGTATGCAAATCAACCGAATGGCAGAACAAATGGTGGCTATGACGTGCACAGACCACCAGGGGGCAGATGCTCAATGCAGGAGCTTCCCCTGGTGGTCAGTGCACTCCCACAGGGGGAGCACTGCTCAGTCAGAAGCAGGCTCATGACTGGCGAGCACAACACGGTGGTGGGAGCCTCTCCCACCTCTGCAGCAGGGCTAAGGACAACTATATTCAAGCTGTCAGTCAGATATCCCCCAAGGGCTCCCAGACTGCAAGAGGGCGCAGGCCAGGCTGAGGGACTCCCCCCCACACACACACACTGAGTGCACGAATTTTGTGTACTGGGCCTCTAGTATTATAATAACTATATGTGGTGTCAGGTGGATACTATACTTATGGGGTGATCATTTGTAAGGTATATAAATGTCTAATCATTACATTGTACACCTGAAACTAATATAGTACCATATGTCAACTGTAATTACAATTTTAAAAATTATAATAAAACTAGAGGCCTAGTACACAAAAATTTGTGCACTTGGGGGGTCCCTCAGCCCGGTCTGTGCCCTCTCACAGTCTGGGATCCCTCAGGGGATGTCCTACTTGCTTAGGCCCACTCCCTAGGGGATCGGGCCTAAGCTGGCAGTCAGACATCCCTCTGGCAGCCTGGGAGCCCTTGGGGGATGTCCACTTGCCAGTGGGGAGCAGGCCTAAGCTGCAGTCGGACATCCTTAGCGCTGCTGAGGAGGCGGGAGAGGCTCCCGCCACCACTGCTGTGCTGGCAGCCGTCAGCCTGGCTTGTGGCTGAGCAGAGCTCCCCCTGTGGGAGTGCACTGATGCTCCTGCATTGAGCGTCTGTCCCCTGATGGTCAGTGTGTGTCATAGTGACCAGTCATTCCCAGTTGTTCTGCTGTTAGGGTCAATTTGCATATTACCCTTCTATTATATAGGACAGAGGCCTGGTGCATGGGTGGGGGCCAGCTGGTTTGCCCTGAAGGGTGTCCCAATCAGGGTGGGGGTCCTGCTAGGGTGCCTGGCCAGCCTGGGTGAGGGGCTGAGGGCTCTTTTCAGGTTGGCCACACCCCCTTCAGGGTGGGGGTCCCCACTGGGGTGCCTGGCCAGCCTGGGTGAGGGGCTAATGGCTGATTGCAGGCTGGTCAAGCCCCCCAGTGGGGACCCTCACCCTGTGGAGGTTTGGCCAGCCTGGGTGAGGGGCTGAGGGCTGTTTTCAGGCTGGTCACACCCTAATCAGGGTGAGGCAGCCCCACTGGGGTTACCTGGCAAGCCTGGGTGAGGGGCTGAGGGCCGTTTTCAGGCTGGCCACGCCCACGGGCTCTAAGCAGGTCTCTGGGATTTATTTAACTTCTATAATTGAAACTTTGTAGCCTTGGTCCTGCTAGAAGCCTGGGTTGCCCCTGGCAACCCATGTTCCCAGCCCTTCCTTGAGTGGAGGCCATGGCGGCTGGAAGCAGGTATTTGGGATTTATTTATCTTCTATAATTGAAACTTTGTAGCCTCGAGCGGAGCTCAGGGATGTCCAGGGCAGGTGGGAAGCTTGACTTCCTCCATCGCCAGGGGCAACCTAAGCCTACTGCTCACTCCAGCTCTGTGGTCGCCGCCACCTTTGTGACGGAGTGAGAGAGTGAGGGTGTGATGGTTAATTTGCATATTACTCTTTTATTAGATAGGCTACATATAAGTATATATGACCCACTTTAAGCTTAGGACTTTGATATTTTAGTGAAAAAGGACAAATTTGATGAGAACAATGCATGTTACAAAGCTGACAAAATTAAACAAAAAATGTGAATACTCTGTAACTTCCATCAAATATTAGGAGACATAAGGTCAATCATACACGAACTCTTCAAGAGAGTAAAACAAGTTCCAAGGCTGGACCACTGAGAAGCACCAGCATTTTATTTTATTTTATTTATTTTTTAAAAAATATATTTTACTGATTTTTTACAGAGAGGAAGGGAGAGGGAAAGAGAGTTAGAAACATCGACGAGAGAAAAGCATTGATCAGCTGCCTCTTGCACACCCCTACCGGGGATGTGCCCGCAACCAAGGTACATGCCGTTGACTGGAATGGAACCCAGGACCCTTCAGTCCACAGGCCGATGCTCTATCCACTGAACCAAACCAGTCAGGGCGAGCACCAGCATTTTAGATGTGCCCAGGAAAGGGTAATGTTAGGTGGTGGAGAAATGGCTGTGAGTGAGGATGCAAACAGCAGAGTGTGGTTCAAACGAGGAAGGAGTGATTTCAGGAAAGAGATAAAGTGGAGGAAGGAGCAATTTCAGGAGGGAGTTGTTGAGCAGCATTTGTAAGTGCTGGAAATAAAGCGATTGAGATTAAGACTGAACATTGCATTTTAATGTCTGTAGTAGTTACCTTTGGGGAGAGGCATTTGGCTTTTTTTAAACATGACCAATGTTAGTACAACTATATACAATCAAATAATTATTTCATCAGGAAGGACAAGAGCCTTATGATTTCACTCATATGTAGGATATAAAACAGAAAGCAACAAATGAACAAACAACTCACAGACAAAGACAAACATAATGGTGGTTACCAAAGGAGAAGAAGGGTGGAAGGAGGATGAAGCAGGTATAGGGGGTCAAATATATGGTGATGAAGGGAAACTAGATTTTGGGTGGTGAGCACACAATGCAAAATACAGATGAATTGTAAACTTGGAACATATAATGTTATTAACCAAGTTACCTCAATAAATTTAATTATAAAAATTGTCTCATATGACAACTTTATGTGCAATACACTATGATTTTTTTAAAAAGTATGCTATTCTATTTATGATAATGATGACATTGGAAAAATATTTCATTGCCCTAGCCAGTTTGGCTCAGTGGATAGAGCTTTGGCCTATGGACCAAAGGGTCCCAGGTTTGAATCCAGTAAAGGGCACGTACTTCAGTTGCAGTTTCCTCCCTGGCCCAGGCCCTGCTTGGGGCATGTGCAGGAGGCAACCAATTGATGTGCTTTTCTCATGTTGATATTTCTCCCTTCTTTCCCTCTCTCTTTTACTCTCTCTAAAAATCAATGGAAAAATATCCTCTGGTGAGGGATATATATATATATTCATAGACAATTTAAAAATTAATATATTTATTTCATAGACCATCAAGTACACTCAGTGGAGCTGAGAGATTGGAAAGTGACGTGGCTAGACAATTCTTTGAAGAAGTTTGACTGTAAGAGGAGAAGACAGTTGAAGCAACAGTAATGAGAAAGTTAGTGTCCTTCAGATATGCCTGAAAGCATCGTTATTTATAGTTGTCCCTTTTAAAGTAATCACATGATGACTACACATAGATACTAAATCAGACAGAGTAAATGCATGAGCAAAGAAGATATACTTAACACCAACTAATATTCCAAATAGCCCTATTTTGAAATAACAATATGGAAATTAAAATCCATAGGATTTTGATTACTTGCTTCCTATAGAAGTGCACAAAGTGTTGCTTGAAAGAAATTATATATAGATACTTCTATAATACAAAGAATAATAAAATCAGTTTTGTGAGGCAAAAAATGAAGGGCTGAGACATTTCTGTGAAGACTCCAGGCCACGTCTCCTCCAATCCTGACAGAGTATCAGAATCTCAGCTAATTTGGATGTTTCATTTACAGCTTCCCTAGTAAGACAAATATTGTGAAGAAATGGCTTACTTTTCTTATCTTGACATCGATTTCCTTTCTCCAGTGCAGTAATTTCCTGCCTACAAGAGAAAGAGATAACGTGAGACACTCCACTTTTCCGAAGCTGAAATTGTGCTTGAAAGAAATGTTTCATTGCTCTTAACCTAAGGCCATTGCTAGATTGACAATTTAAAAGTTAAATAAAATTGAAATCCTGCTTACCCTGTTTTTTAAAAATATGTTTTTATTGAGTTTTTAAAGAGAGAGAGAGGGAGAGGGAGAGAGAGATGGAAACATCAATGAGAGAGCAACATCGATTGGCTGCCTCCTGTGTGCCCCCTACTGGGGGTAGAGCCCACAATCCAGGCATGTGCCCTCACCTGGAATGAAACCGGCAACCTCTTGGTGCATGGGAGGATACTCAACCAACTGAGCCACACCAGCTGGGCATACTTACCCTGTTTTGTTTTCTTTCTGAAAAACCATGAAATATAGCTGATAACACTGTATTGTATAATGTAAATTAGCTGAGAGTAGAATTTAAATGCTCTCACCAAAACAAACAAAAAAAGCTAAATATGTGAGGTGGTGAATGTGTTAATTAACTCAATGGAGGGGATCTTTTATAATGTATACATATATCAAATCACAATGTACACTTTAAATAGATTTTTTTTATATTTTGGTGGGGTAACTGCTTGTAGTTCTTTTCTAGTTATTTGGTCTGTCACAGTGCCATATATATATATATATATATATATATATATATATATATATATATATATGTATGTATTTTAGGAGCCCAGTGCCCGAATTCATGCACCTTGAAAGGAACTGTGGGCCACGAGGCTGCAGTGGGCACAGGGGCAGGTCTCGGCCCATCCTCCACGATCCCTCATGGCCCCTCCCTCTGAAGCCCCTGGTCCCCTGTGTGCTGGCAGCACTGATAGCGCAGAGCAATTGGGGCCGGCACCAGCAACAGGTGCAAGCGGGGCCAGCGCCATCAGCGGGTGTGAGCAACTGGCCCCGATTGTCCCTCAGAAAGAGGGGGAGGTGGGGAAGCCCTCAGGGTTGATCGGGGCCAGCTGCCGCTGCTCACACCCACTGACAGTGCCAAGTGATCGGGGCCGGCAGCGGGGACTGGCAGCGGGGACTGGCAGCGGTATGAGCAGTGGCTCTGGTGCCAACAGCAGGTACGAGCAGGGCTGGTGCCGGCAGCAGGTGTTAGCGCCAGGCAGGACCATGGCTTGTGAGAGCAAAGAATTTTCAGTAACCACCAAATGCTCACGCCAGTGACAGTGACCAGTATCCCACGTTGGTCTGGTGCCCTCGCTCACCTGCTCCACAATCCTGCCGTGGCTGGCGCTCACCATGTTCTGTGCTCTGCCACCTGCTGCCGACTCATGCTATGTTCTGCATGTGCCCCCTGGTGGTCAGCACACATCATAGCTACTGGTTGTTCGGTTGTTCCACCATTTGGTCTATTTGCATATTAGCCTTTTATTATATAGGATATATATACGCATATTTTTTTTTAATTAAAAATTTTAATGTTGAGATTCCAAAATGGTGGTGGAGTAAGTAGAAGCCACACTGATCATGCTCCCAGGACCAAACTGGAATTACAACTAAATACAGAAAAACCATCCTGAATGATCAACTGAAGACTAGCTGGAGAGAAGCCTGGTAATCAAGAACAAAAAGTAGAGACTGAATAAAGACTGGTAGGAAGTGTGTGAAAGGGCTGGCCAGGCTTCCATAGACAGCAGCTGAAGTTCCAGAGGGATATCTCAGCTATGGGGGTTGCCACTGAGACTGTGGGGTCTAAACCCAAAGCTGGGCTCCCCAGCCCAGAGCACAGACCTGAGAAAGGTGCCCACATAACATTGGGCTGTGAAAAGCAGCAGAGTGGCTATCTGCCAGGGAGAGAGGCTGGAAATGCAGGCACCCTCTTAAAGGGCCAATGCACAAAAGTCTGTGCGCAGCCACTCAGAGGGAAGACTGAGTGGACTGGAGCTGTGTGGGCAGAAATCAGAGTTGGGGGCTCAGGGGTTAAGAGCTTAGGGGCAGATACCCCTGTTTCCTGTACTAAGTCATTCCTACATACTGAGGAGAACATCTTTCTACAGCAAACCTTTATCATCTAGGCAGCTTTTGCCTGGGGGGAGAAGCAATTGCCTCACCCTGTTGGAAAACCTCTCACTGCAACCTGTAATCGATAGCCTAAGGCTAATCAAGACTGAATAACAATCAGACTTCAGGCAGAGGCAGATCTATGGAGACTTTAAATCTTTTTCTGATCTAATTTGGAGCCCTGGGCTAGGAAAACCAGACCTTGGTGCACATGTTGGTCCTTTCCAAAGGCACCCAGCCCCAGCAGAGGGAGCCACAAGGTGTGAATTGCTGATAGCTCCAAACAGGGTGTTCAGCACAAGTCAGAAACAGTGTCTGACAGTCCTGCACTAGAGATTGGGAGTCGTAGCAGATCTACCTAATACATAGACACAAACCCAAACAGGCAACCAAAATGGGAAGACAAAAAAACAAGTCCCAAATGAAAGAACAAGAGAATTCTCCAGAATAAGAGCTAAATTAAATGGAGATAAGAAATTTATCTGATATAATGTTCAGAATAATGATGGCAAGGATGCTCAACAGCATGAGAAAAGATATAGTAACTATGAAAAAAGACCAGTTGGAAATAAAGAATGATATAGCATTAATAAAGAACACATTTCAAGGAATACACAGCAGATTAGGGGAAGTCGAGAAGGATCAGTGAATTAGAAGTCAGAGTAGAAAAAAAATCATTCAATCAGAGAACCAAAAAGAAAAAAACAACTAAAAAGCAGGAGGACAGCTTAAGGGAGCTGTAGGACAACATGAAACATAACAATATTCGCACAATAGGTTTGACTGAAGGAGAAGAAAGTGAGCAAGGGATAGAGAAGGTGTTTGAAGAAATAATAGCAGAAAACTCCCCTAACCTGGTGAAGGAAAAAGTCACACAAGTTCAGGAGGCACAGAGAACTCCAAGCAAGAAGAACCCAAACAAGTCCATGCACAGACACATCATAATTAAAATGCCAAAAATTAAAGACAAAGAGAGAATTTTAAAGGCAGCAAGAGAAAAGCAAACTGTTACCTACAAAGGACCTCCCATAAGGCTGTCAGCTGATTTCTCATCAGAAGCTCTTCAGGCCAGAAGGGAATGGCATGAAGTATTCAAGGATTTGAAACCAAGATTACTATATCCAGCAAGGCTATCATTCAAAATACATGGTGAAATAAAGAGCTTCCCAGAGAAAAAAAAAAAGGCTAAAGGAGTTTACCACCACCAAATCAGCACTGCAAGAAATGCTAAAGGGACTGCTGTAATGAGGAAAGAGAGAGAGAGAGAGACAGAGAGAGAGAGAGAGAGAGAGAGAGAGAGAGAGAGAGAGAGAGACATAGTCATGCAGAATTAAAATGGCAATAAATAAGTACCTGTCAATAACAACCTTAAATGTAAATGGACTAAATGCTCCAATCAAAAGACATAGGGTAACTGAATGGATACAAAAACATGACCCGATTATATGGTGTCTACAAGAGACCCACCTCAGAACAAAAGACACAGGATGAAAATGAAGAAATAGAAAATTTTTTTCCATGCAAACGGAAATGAAAAAAAAAAAGCTGGGGTAACAATACTCATATCTGACAAAATAGACTTCAAAATGAAGGCCATCACAAGAGACAACAAAGGTCACTACAAAATACTAAAGGGATGGATCCAACAAGAGGATATAACCCTGGTAAACATATACGCACCCAATATAGGAGCACCTAAATATATATATATAAAAAAACTTCTAGAGGACTTTAAGGGAGAGATCAAAGCAATACAATCATAGTAAGGGACTTTAACACCCTGCTGACTTCATTGGATAGATCTCCTAGACAAAAAATTAATAAGGAAACAGTGACTCTAAATGACACACTGGATCAAATGGATTTAATTGACATTTATAGAACATTTTACCACAAAGCTGCAGAATATGCATTCTTCTCAAGTGGCAATGTAACAGGATACAAAATTACACCCAGAAATCGATGGCATTTTTATACACCAATAATAAATTCTCAGAAAAGAAACTAACAAACAATCCCATTTACCATTGTGATAAGAATATTAAAGTACTTAGAAATAAACTTAACCGAGGAGATAAAAGACCTGTAAAACTTAACCAAGGAGGTAAAAGACCTCAGAAACCTACAGGACGGTGAAATCAGAGAGAGAAAGATACAAACAAGTGGAAGAATATATTGTGTTCATTGATTGGTAGAATCAGCATCATTAAAATGTCCATACTACCCAAGGCAAACTATAGATTCAATGCAATCCCTATTAAAATACCAATGGCATATTTCACAGGTCTGGAACAAATACTCCAAAAATTTATATGGAACCAAAAAAGACTCCAAATAGCCACAGGAATCTTGAGAAAGAAGAACAAAGTTGGAAGGATCACAATACCAGATTTCAAGTTTTACTACAAAGCCACCGCAATCAAAACAGCCTAGTACTGGCACAATAATAGGCATACAGATCAATGGAACAGAACAGAGACCCCAGAAATCAACCCAAGCCATTATGCTCAATTAATATTTGATAAAGGAGGCAAGAGCTTACAATGGAGTCAAGACAGTCTCTTCAATAAATGTTGCTGGGAAAATTGGACAGATACATGCAAAAAATGGAAACATGACCTCCAACTTACACAATACAGAAGAATAAACTCAAAATGGTTAAAAGACTTAAATGTATGTCATGAAACCATATGAATCCTGGAAGAAATCACAGGCAGCAAAATCTCAGACATCTCTCATAGCAATATGTTTACAGATACATCTCCTAGGGCAAAGGAAACTACGGAGAAATAAACAAATAGGACTACATCAAAATAAAAAGCTTCTGCACAGCAAAAGAAACCATCAACAAAATGAAAAGGGAGCCCACTGTATGGGAGAACATATTTGGCAATGATACATCTGATAAAGGGTTAATATCCAAAATATTTAAGGAACTCATATAACT